ACCTGATGTTCTCCCTAAGGTCGAAAAATATACCACAAAATGTCTCCCTAGTGACCCATTTGTAAGAATACAACAGACATTAAAGATCATGATGGTGAATGGAATGACCAAATGTACTCCACCAAGCATGGGTATCAATAAGTAGGAGGGGGGGAAAGGTTTGTCTGGTGGCTCGTTGCCAAGTATACTCATATACATGTAAGTAAAATGAATTACCAGAGGAGAAGAGATTCTAAACTACAAAATACGGCCATGATGTTGCTTGTGAATGTGGAAATTCACACGTACATGTACAAAGAGGTTCCAAACATGCATTAAAGTAATTGTATTGCACCTTTAAATTCCAAGGAGGTTGTTAATGCCACAAACCAGATGTCAGTTGATGTCAGTTGATCCATGGAGCTTTTAATAGCTTGATAGTTGATCACAGTGTGTCATTGTGGCAGTTGATTTTCATAGTGCAAGAATGTTAAGAACCATATGATAATTATCACTGTTGTGGTCAACCCCCCCCCTCAATTACAAGACCATCACCAGACTCACCCCACAGGGCAAATCACAACCTACTGGTGTTCAATGAGCTGCACTTTTGTCCTGTTCCTACCTGTTACTTGTGACTGATCTCGTAAAGGTTTTAACTGCAAAGATGGGGGTGTTAATTTGAACTAGTACGGCCCAAGACAGCTTCAGGGATGATGACTAGGTTTTTGCTTTATGCATGTACATATACCAAGGATCTTCCTACCACCTGCAGTTCAGAGTGTAACTTCACCCACTACCAAACTGTTTTTTTTCGAGAGGCACTTTCTCTTCTGTGCCCTGCCTTATTTTGTGCAAATTGCAAGGCAATTTGTTGTCCATTGACTCATTATCCCAAGAAGACTCTCCCATACTGGTACCGATATTTCACCACGGGCTGGTGAATTTCTTAACGGGCTTTCTAATGGATTGTGTGCATTCTTTGTAAGAGTTAATTCCCTTAAGTGCATCTCGTGGTCAATGGTTACTTTTGTAAATGAGTTGCCTCAAGACACTAAAATATAATATTTTTGGCTTCAGTCATTTCATCGTTTGTCGGATGTCATAAAGCTTCTGCATCCTCGTTACAATCCATATTTGTGTAACTATCTGATAGTGACCTATCACAGGCTGTTTTACCCGATGCTGTCCGGATCTCCTTTGCAGACCTTGTTGCAATTACTTGCTTGCCGGTATCCATGTTGCACTGTATTCATAGCCGTAGCATCCTCTCACATCCTTGTCTTTTCTTACAAAGCTGTGGATTGTTCCTTGGTCTGATAGCCTCATCCATCTTATCCTTTGACTCTCTGGTTCTCTTTGATTTAAAGGCAGCTGCGTGTGTACATGTGTACCACAGCTGATGTTTTAAGAGAAAAAATTATGATGGCTCTACATGGAACTGAACCTGAGAACTTGAAGCCAGCCATTGTAATTGTCATTATTGGATTGATTGGTGTACATGCCATTTGTAAACCAGGTTGGATGGAACATGGCTCATCTTGCTACAACTTTACAGATCAAAAGATGACTTGGGACGATGGAAGCTCCTACTGCCAAGAGCTTGATGGGATGCTGTTGGTTATTGAGACAGAGGAAGAAAATGACTTCATCGCTCAAGGATTGAAAAATCTCAACGTGTCAAAGGCGTGGCTTGGTTGCAATGATAAGGTCACAGAGGGCACATGGATGTGTTATCCTGAAGGTGTCAAGAGAATGCAGTATGAGAACTGGGGGGAGGGACAACCCAATAACAAAGATAACCAGGATTGTTCAACAATAAAGACCGAGGGTCATTATGGCAAGTGGGGTGACAAACAGTGCAACAGCAGTAGGTACACTGTATGTGAGACAACCAGCAGCAGAGTCCCTGCCATGTCCTGCTACATTCTGGGTTCTGATGGACGCCTTCACCTCTAAATCTCACCCAAGCCTTCAGTCAGCAACACACCCCTCTTTCTCTTGAATAAGGATTCTGCATTTAAATCATCAGCTTGAAGAAAGACTACCAGTGTTCATGAATAATATGTACATGTATGAACATTCGTGTACATGTTGGATGTACCAGTGCAAATTACTGATTTTGTGCCTCGTACATGTATGTTGTAACCCGTTGGTGTTTTTGATGCACCACAGACAGCAAGGGGTGTAATACTCTGAGATCTTTACGCAGTAGACAGTCAGACGATGATTCAAGTTTCTACAAGAAATTCAGTCTACAAAAAATGTCAAAGATAAAGCTGGACACTTGGGACTGTGCATTTTGAATTGTGTGCATCAAGACGTTTGATTTACCTCAGGTTGTACCATGACTGATGCTTTTGGTGGGGGTTGCCTTGAACCATTTGCTATCTGAGTGTACGGTACAGTATCTGTCAGTATATGGTACATGTACTGTACATGTAGGCCTATGTCTGAATCTGTGTTGAGCGACAACATTCATGTGAATGGTTTAAAATCTTGATGCTGAAATGTTGACGATTTCCTGCTAATTGAGCAGGAACTACGGTATTAGGAATTTACATTCTACCGGCGCTAGTCTGCATTTCTAGAATATCGGATTTGAGTCATTGCAAATTGTTTTGAAAAACAAAACCTTAAGATTGCTTGTAAACATGGTGTAAATATTGCCTTGTTACAAAGGGCGAAGGAGCGCCATACAAATGTGCTCCTTTAGCCATGGCACTGACTGGGCGGGGCCCTACTATTTTCGTCCTGGTTTGGGCTACTTACATGTAAGGTAAATATGCTCAGCTGAATATAATTTGCCTCTTTGTCCATTAATATGTGTTTGCGGCTTTCTAATTTTCTTTATATAATTGTGCTTGGCTGTGCTAATGTAAATATGTTTGCTTCTATCCTTTGCTTGTCCAAAACTTG